CTTCAGTAGGATGTACTATGAGCATTGTCATCATTATCATCGTGCAGCGTAATACAGTGAAGCGAACTTCACTGATCGCTGTCAAACTTATAATGCATACAAGGTAAGTGAGAATGTGTGGGGAGGAGAGGGATTGGGACTACTTTTAAAGACGGGAAAAGGACGCGAACCTCTATGGTCAGCACTCAGAGCACACAGTCCANTACTATTTCAAGCATTCTGGTCTGACAAGAAGTGACAGCAAGATCGCCACCACTGTCTGTTTGCCAACATGACCTTCATTGTTTCTAGCCATCGAGTGAGGGAGTGTTTTGGACCCCAACCCGGAAGAGAGACACCTACTCTACCTAATCGTTTTGTGCATTTCTTCATGTCTCGTCTCTGCATCACCTGCTGGCCTCCACATGGCTTTCTCCAGTCTGCAACAGCCACTACAAATATGTGGCGCGGCGGTAGGCGACCGTCGGACATAAGCAGAACCTAATTCAGTTTCAGTTTTAGTTTGCACAACCCCTAACCATGCACTATCGTGCGCCGGTTTTGGTTGTTATCTTTCGGCTACTCATTTGGATGAACATTGGGAGAAAGACAGGAAAGGTTGAAAGTAAAATCGAAGAGAACGTGTCCTAACCAACGAAGCCTATTAAGCTGAATTCGATGCGACAGCGATTTCTTGTTCGATGCATTCCCAAACATCCGACGACTTACTTCTAAATTACTAACCCGCTCACTCCATCCAACCTGGGCTACACTACGTAGGCATTAATTGCTGAAAACCACTAGGCGACGAATGTCTTCTACCCGAAAATACACGGTTTCACAACCGTAAAACACAGCTGATCGTACAGTGGCTCAGTATACGCGACTTTTCGACTTTGGTGATACTTTGTCATCACAGGTGTTTTCGTCCTGCGTACGCTGCTCGAGCCTTGGAAATGCGGGCGGAACTGTTTTGATGCGCGACCGTCGTTGGCTACACAGCTACCCACGTACAAGAGGCAGCCAACATCAGCTCATTCCTGATCGTCTAGTTCTAGAACGGGACTCGATGAAACCCAGTCTTGTAGCATCACTTTGCACTTTGAAGGAGCAAAGCGCATGTTGAACAGAACAGCAGAACGTGTTAATCTGTCAAATGCGCTTTGTGCATCCTCCATATATTCGAACAGGCAAACGATGCCGTTAGCATACTCTAAATTGCACAGCTTTTCTTCAACTGCCCACTGAATACCTACATTTTGGAGACCACTTACTGCGTTCTTCTCTATTTCGTCTATAACGGAAATGAACAGGGACGGCGAAATAGGTTTTAGTTTCAGTTTCAACAACCGTTAACCATGTACATTTGTGCACTTGTTTTTGTTGCTGTCCTTTGGTTGAAAGACAGGGAGGTTGAAAGTGGAATCGAAGAGAGCATTGGGAATTTCAGTGGATTAACGTTGCAGAGAAATTGGCAAGATGCACCAATGCCACTGTTTACGACACTCGGTCATATTGTGATGGAAGGCAGTTTAAAGAGAGTCCTGGTTAGCGACCGAAGCAAGAATAAGGCCCATCCGACCAGACGCAGCGGCGGGAAGTGCCTCGCGAGACAATGTTAACCGCCACCTGAAACGAGTGAATCGACAATTACAGCCCGAAAGACAATCCGCAGCTAACAGGAAAGATATTCATCGAATGCCACAACGTCGGAGCTGTCGATCAACGCATCTCGCGCCGCGATCGGCGCAAACCAGTCGGAATGGCACGCGGAAGAAGAGGCAACGTACGTGCCAAGTGCAGACCAAGACCAACAACGAATGATCCACAGAAAGAGGCATGAATCATCCCGCCGCGCGGTTCGGAATTGACTGTATATAATCGAGCGCAGACACTGTTTGTTTTTGAATTGGATCAATAGACGTTTTCCCAGCCGGCTCGCCTTCTCATTACAATGTCACTCAGTGTCTCTAACCATCGGTTACGATCATCCCTAGGTCCCCATCCAGGGAGCCTAACGGGACCTATGTGACCCGGACCTCTGGTTAGGTTTTTCATACTCTCATGTCAGGTCTTAGCTTGACCACCTTTGGTTTTCTTCCACCCACTACCTGTCACATGCGTAACACATGTCCCAACCAACGTAATCTATAGAGGTTGACCACTTGCTCCAGTGGGCGACAGCGGTTACCTAAAACTCTGCGCCTAGCCTCGGCAATGCTCGTTCTGCTGCCCCACCAGATTTGTGTAATGCTGCGTAGACAGCGGTGTTCTAACACCGACAGTCTATCTTTATCCTGCATTCCTAATTACCTAGTTTCTGCGATGCATGGCAGAACTGACCAAGCTGCTGCAACATAAACTGGGCTCTTCGAAGATAAATGAATGTCGCGACGGCGCCACACATGTCTCAATTTGGCAAATACCAATCAAGTCTTCTGTATGCGAGCTGACACTTCATCCGTGATGCGTCCACCGGGTGAGATGTAGCTGCCTTTATGCGAGCTGACACTTCATCCGTGATGCGTCCACCGGGTGAGATGTAGCTGCCCAAGTACATTCACCTGCTCTATTACTTCTCCAGTTAGAGTGAGGCTCGGTGCTTGGTAAACAGTAGTTACCTGCTCTATTACTTCTCCAGTGAGAGTGAGGCTGTGTGCTGGACCAACCCAGTCTTGTAGTAACATTTTACACTTTCCTCGATTACTTCCCCAGTTAGAGTGACAAAACTTATCCACGTGCTCTATTACTTCCCCAGTTAGAGTGAGGCTGGGTGCTGGACCACTTTATGCGAGCTGACACTTCATCCGTGATGCGTCCACCGGGTGAGATGTAGCTGCCCAAGTAGTATCCACTTGCTGTATTACTTCCCCAGTTAGAGTGAGCCTGGGTGCTGGATCAACCCAATCTTGTAGTAACATTTTACACTTCGAAGGTGCAAAACGCATACCAAACATGACCACACTGGCATTCAGGCTGTCCAAAAAAGCTTGCAACTTAGTAGCACAATGTCGTCTGCATACTCTATACCTTTTTCAGTTTAAGATGTCCGTAATACAATTTAAGAAGTCACGGTATGAATTTAAGATGTCAGAGTATCCACTTAAGATGTCATGTTGCTATGTGGATAGTGCCTTGCACAGTACAGAGTGAAAACATAGCAACATGACATCTTAAATTGTTACTCGGACATCTTAAATGCATATTGTGACATCTTAAATTGGATTTCGGACATTTTAAATGGGATTTCGTATATCTGAAACTGAAAAGGTATAGATCAGACAGCCTGCCACCTGCGAGTAAATCGGTATTACTATCCTCTCTCTAGGATAGGGCTGTTTCCATGATCAAATCTATAACAAAGTTAAATAGAAAATGAGAGAGAGGGAAACCCTGACGAACACCACTTTCCGTGGTGAACTCGTTCGAAAAAGTGCTCTAAGCTCGGACTCGTCTTCGGTTATTAGTATGAAATTAAAAATTATTAGTATGAAATTAACTTTTCGGGCACACCTTTCAGAGAAAGGCATCGAGATTCCCTTTGAATGATTAGTTCCAGTACGCTTGCGCATTTGCTTTAAATGCGCGACACAATCCGGGAATCTACCCACAGATGAATTGAATGTGATTTGCTGTATATCTCTACAATATGCCGGTCACATCTTTAATTCTACAACAAATGCACGAGTTTCACAAATTTAACAACTATTCATCATTTACTTCCTCCTTTTGGTTATTGGTCAAAGAGTTTGGCATGTTAACAGGAATATGCTAAAGCTGAGCGAACTTATATGCTGATGCCCTTCATATAATCGTCATCATCAACTTCAGTCTTTTTTGCTAAAAGGTCATAATTTAAATCGTACTGCACTTAAGTTTAGAAGTGTCTTGCTGATTGTAACTGGACGAAGTCTACCCTAATTAGTTTTGTTTTTACAGAATCTGTTTGACTGATAGCATTCGCTTATTGCATACTTTTATGACAGATTGCATTTTACGCGAAGCGACTCAACTATTCCAAATGTACAAAAAACATAAAACAGAAATATGCGACTATTCTGTCACCAATCTGATCGCATTGTACTGTTTGGTGGCTGTCATTCTGCCCACCACACTAATAATGACAGATCTTTATGTAATATTGTCTAAGTAACTTTCATGCCTGATTACTGTCACTGGCTCGCACGGCTCTGGCGTTCGAATCCCACATCTACTTCCCAACTTAGGTGAGCTCTTTGTCGTTGCCCATCTCTGCCCGTTCGGGATCTTAGATGGCTCTTCACTTCACGTCTCAGAGTTTTGACTGGCCGTTTTTATCATTGAAAATCAGGTAATCTGTCCATACAACCAAAGTATGCAATGAAACTTTACCTGTTTGCTTGGATCGATGTCAGTTTCAATTATTTCCTTCCCCACCTCCTCTCTCACGCACTCGGTGTATTATTTGCTTCTGTCATTCTACTCGATACAGAGATACAGAAGCGAGCTGCAGATACTACGCGAACGATTTGAACAACGGAACAGTCGTCTCGAAGAGGTAGAACGTGAAGTCTATGAACTACGTGGTCGTTTTCCCACAAACTCCCATTCGAAATCGGACATCAGTCGGTCTCTCGGTTTACCAGTTTCCGCAGAGGCTCGCAGTCCCCGTATGAGCGGGCATAATTATCCAACTACGTCACAAAATCCAATCTGTCCTCAAAGCATCCACCACGTACTTCCCACCAATTGGAGCGGACCTCTAGACACAGTAGCTTCGAATGCTGCCGTGTTGACAGTTGATGCCCACTCGTCGCAACCCGTTTCGGGGGCACTGATTAATCCGGTACATCAGTCTGCCGTTCCTGTTCCCGTATCGACCACAACGGTCGAGCAAAAGTGAGTGAGAGCTCCTATAACATATTTTACTGTTTTCTGATTTTCCTCGCTTAGATTGGCGCATTCGAATTCTAAAATACTCGTACCTGATTAGGTGGATTTTATTTCAAATGAGTTAATACGAGTAGGTGATACGTTTTACTTGTTGTTCAGAGGTCTGTCTCTGAAAAGTCACTCTTTCATACATTCAAAAGATCCTATCAGTTTTTGTTTAATACTAACTGCAGGATCATTGTCACCATGTAAATTTAAAGTTCTTATCATGCCTCACGCTGATGGCCGTTTCTTTTGACGCTTTACCGTGGAGTTTGTTTCTTTGTTTTTATCTTCATTTCCTAGTTGCTAACGCCCAGTTTTACCGATCAAGTCAGGCGTAATAACGCAACTTCTTGACCTTCATATATTTTCATGGTGGATGCATATATTGCCTCATACCATATAGAACTCACTGATACGCGCTATTAGAATAATGTTGACGGCGGTCGATCGGTGAAAATCCGTTTCATTGGTCACGGCTGAAAGGATCTTGTTAAAAGTTTTGGTTGAGACTCATGGACTTGGTTTATTTTACTGTCCAAATCACTGGGTAATGTAATTGTCATGTAAGCAATTCTCGCACACACTCAAGTCTCAACGTTCTGTTGAGGATGTTTCCTGTTTATGACTAACACCGGTTTCGATTCATACTGGGCTTCGCTGCAAACATCTTTAAAGCCATGTAAACAATTCGCAGTTTGTTTATGGGTACAATGCCACCAGATTGCCTCAGTCAACGAAAATGTTTATCTTGGGAATTATCAACCGGGGTCTGCTGCCGACTAAAACTGAACCCTCAAGGTAAATAGACATCGTATAATGACCTCAATCGGTCGGGGATCGGTGCATAGTCACTTACTCTATTTGAATTCTCTTCACAGGTCCAGGATACTCTCCCTATGTATACTACTATACAGTCGAGCAGGGGACCTCGAACAGCGTTATGGAACTCGTGCGTACCTCCCGAAGTTTTTCACTCTTAAATGAGCTGGTTGCACGTGGAACTTTAGTGAAACCCTTAGCTCAAGAAAACAGTGAACATGTGCCTCAACAAGCATTTTCTGGAACTAAGAATGAGTTCCTAATAACCATTGAAGTAGGTGGGGATTTGAATTCTTTTTATATTCTGTTGTAATTTCATATTTCTTCGTTCTCCGAAAAAAACTACGAAGTGACACAAATCAGACCCGAACCCGAAAAGCTAACATTTATATTCATCAAAATAGAATCTATATATATCATAAAGGTTCTAAATCCGAAATATCTCCAAAAGATCTCTTCTCCTTCCTTGAATAACTCTGTTTTATTGGGGAGGGGGGATAAAAGACCACTTAAGCAACAGTACCTCCTAAGACGGGAAAAATATTCTTCCTTTTTGCAATTCTTTGACCGGTAAGCAAGCAAGCGGTTAGTGTTTTTTCGTTCTTTCTGTGATGTTTCCGATTTCATCCCCCTGATTAATATGCTCTGTTGCTGATACTGCACATAGTACAAACAGCTGCACTTTAACTCACCGCCTTTCGGATCCGAGTGTGTGGTGTTCCCACGTGACGAATTTCTGTCGGTATTCCCTCGCGTTTTAAGGGGGCCTCAAATGGATTGTGCGTGTGCTTTTATTGCTGTTCCCTCGCAATCTAGGTACCGGTGTGGTCTTTCTCTGGCCTAGTATTATTGTTTCGAAACGGCGTAAATCAGAATTAGAAGATCTGTCGGTGTGCGCAGGAGAAACGAATACAAAAAGCAATACGGTTCGGCGTTGCTGCTCGTTTCGGAGTAAACGCACTCCGTGGATGATAGGACCATCCGTCATGTGTCACGTGCTTAACATGCACCAGCTGCAGTTACAAATAAGCTCCTTCATCACCTAGATAGAGTTGTAATAGATGTTTCTCCAAAGTAACGGGATGGGGTAAGGTGTAAACAGATAAGATGATAGTGGATTAAGATCTCTTGGAAGACAGCGTCAGAGTTAGAAGTTACCTTGAGCTCACCTGGTATGTACGCTCCGGATACACCTGAGGCCTTTTTCGCTGTAAGCTGTAAACTTACAGTGTTGGTTATTTGAGCAATCAGCTTGTTTGTCGGTGCAATCACACACGCACTGTCACTCCGCATTTGTTAGATCTGCACAGCGCAAATAGCTGGTATCTCGATTTCAGCTTATTGAAGACTGCATCTAAAAATTCCTCGCTAGCATAACTTTGCAAATTGTAGAGGTCATTAAATGTAGAGAAGACAAGTTACGAAGGCCTGGTTTGCTTATCTTAAACGAGCACCACGAAGTTTCGCAGTTAACGATTTAGTTTCAGTCTCTGATTATCACGACTTAGATTTCATGCCCTGGGGTGGGGTCGCGTCTGTCCGTGTAGCTGAGGCCACTCCACAACCCATATTGAAACCATACTATGGGTCCATCTGCTTCAATGTCTCTTCAAATTTGAGGTTTTACTGTTAAACTGCTACATTCAATGATTTGCTATCAGTATCACCTTGTATAGCTAATTTTCAAACAATCAGTAATTGTCATAGCATTTGCATCTTCTGACGTGACCTCATAGTGCCTATTCAAGGTTGTTTTATTTTTACTACTTTTACTTCGTTATTTGAGAACACGAGTTCATACTCAATTGAACAAGACGAAAAGAGCCTCAAGCGAACAATTGAATCCAACCACTCAGCTACACGAGACCGTTCTAAGCTCAAACTCAGGCGCGGCTAAATTTATTCGCTGTGCTCATGGATGTTATCACCACCGGGACTGTTTTCGAGAGCGTGTCAGTTCGAATTCGTCTACCTCCACCTCAGAAAGGTCACGTGTGCCATTTGGTGAGCGTTGTCGTCACGCGTGTATACACTCAAACGCATGCGGTTTTCGTCAGTCAACTCACGAATCGGCGATCAATGCATCCATTACCTGGAATGGCGATAAACCGTCTGGACAAGAGACAGTGTCATGGTTTGCTGTATGCGACGCCACTCTGTGCGATCGATCGGATCAATATTGTGTTAGTTCTTCGATCGGAAGTCCAGATGTTCCTTGTAGCGTTTCCGGCCCGCTGGATCCTTCCCATTGTTGCACAGATCAGTCTGAATTTAATGAACTCACGTGTTCAAACTAGGTATACCTGACATGTTCAGACCGCGTTCTGGTTTCCTGTTGAATGGTTCTCGCTGTTCCGTTAGTTCAGTTGGTACCGTTTACCTTTGTCCTTTGAGCGTCAAACCGAACTGCACTCTTGATTTCGAGTGTGTTCGGCAAAACTCTTCCCGCTTCTTCCCTTTTGGTCTCGAATTCCCCTCGCGCTTNCTTAGTGGTGTGCAACAACCATATTACCTGGTTGCGTAAGTAGAACGGCAGGTTGCTAAACAAGTGTTGTGAAAACTGTTGAGCTCCTTGATGCAGTGAAGGGAATAGAGTTCAATGACCTTGTTTTAGCACAGATGAACAAAATCGGATTTTCCTAAATCCACCCGGATAATGACGCGAGAACATTTGAGTGTGACCGGAAAATGAGTTCAAGTCAGCTAAGTTTTAAAATACCTTGTCTAAATCAATGCAGTTGGCTGACAGAGCTTCTTCGATAAAAAAATTAGGTAGGTCATTGTCAGTATTGTCTCTCAGCTGCTTAGCGAATTTCATTTCCAATGCGGTAATAGATTGCGTAAACCAAAAGTTTTGCTAACGCTTATCCGTTCGCAAAAGAATAAACCCATATTCAAAAATATCCAAGTGTTCAACTGTAAACAAGTTGAATCAACAGATGTTTGATCTTCATAAAAATTCAGAAAATGTCATCGTATTCACCTAATGCGGATCACTGACAAATGTAAAAAACATAAAGTATTTGCAACTTCCTGAAGGATATGTAAGTGACAATTTTGGCATAGATTCATTTACTTTAGTTTTTCACTTCCCCCGCGAGAAACACTACCTTAAATATGATGTTTTGTGAAAAGAACGGATGACGATTACTTCCGAAAGCGGTGCGAGGAACTGGATCCATAATTGATAGTTGTACACTGAAGACTCCCCTGGTCGATTTTTGATGATTGTTCGTCAATAAAATGGTACTTATATGCATAACCTGAGGGGTTCTATGTTTATTTATGTTCACTGCATCTCTCTTTGATTGGTTATTTTTCTATTGTTGTTGTTTGAGTTTTGCCTCCGTTATACGCCCACTTTTTTATTCCAATGGCTTACTCTTTACACCTTGGTACTCCATACTCTCTATTCCCAGCGTGAACGGGTCACTTGTGATGTGGCGATCTCGTCCAATCGATCCGATTACTTTGACGAGTACAAATAATTTGCTGCAACGTGTGTCCTCAAAGACATCAATCGCTACGGAATCCTCCATCACAATCGATTGTTCAATCAATACCTTACCCGTTGCTCCCAGTTCACCCATCATTGAACTGTCAACTCGAAGTGCTCAACCCACCCCAGTGGAAGATAGCGGTCGTCCCGGCTCACCATGCACATGTTCCGAGCTCACACTGCTTCACACAGACACCCTGACAGTGTTGTGATCATTCTACCGACTCTTCCCCGAACCCCCACAGTACCACTCTTTTTTGCCGTCGTTTGTCTGCTGGGAATAGGTGAAAGTACATTGTGTAGATTGTTTCTTTATTGGTTTGGTCTATCACAATCGCATCCGTGAATTTCCAACCGTGGCAGCACACATCAGTGAATTAGGATTTCTATTTGAATTATTTGTCTTTCATGTATTCATTTTTGAAACCTCTTTTCGGACACAACATGATGATACCATATCGTTCTTGGTAGGGTTATTCAAAAGATTGATGAATAGGTGCATAAATGTGTCACTTCAATTGCGCCCCCGCCCGGTTTTTCATCAATCCGGTTCCTGATTTGGGAACTTCCAGTGTGATATATTTTTCTATCGTAGTTTTCCATTTCTCCCGATTTATTCCGCTTCTCTTCATCTACTGTCTTGTGTGTGTGTGTGTGTGTGGTTGTTATTGGTCTACTTTTAATCAACTCGCCAATACATGGCTTTCGATTCCTTAGGTCAAGCTTGTTACCCACACCTTGTTTCGTTTGTTCACGTTCCGTTGTCCCAACTAGTGCCTTCAGAGTTCTCATGCTTGCGACGTCCGGACGGCATCCTCTGCTATTGGGTTGTCCGGAGTGGTCGACAGAAGACCATGAATATGAAGTGGAACTGTGATCATTGGTTTCTCCTAGTCATGGTTACATGGCCTGAAGGATGTGCCTGCTAACTGGTTTGATACAGTAACGTCCACCGTCGTTTTTCTTCTCCACTGTCCTCCTAGGTGATGATTGAACATCAGAAAATGTTTACCTCGGGGTAGAGTTGCACGAATGATCAGAATCGACCTCACTCTGCCACTCTTATTAATATGTCCCCACAGATCAAGCTATTTGAAACCAGAATGACGGCACATTCAGACTATGCTGACCAAATTTGTTTGATTCATGCTACTACAATTGCGTCCACAACACCTCACTACATCCCAGTGCTCTATTCGCTCCCAGTCTTCTCTCTCTCGCTGTCACAGTGCGTTGAAGAATGATGAGTAAAACAACAGCCAGTTGTACTCGCTTGACCATTTGAATGGTCATAATATAAAGACCCTGATTGTTTGCTTTGATTACAGCAGCCGCTCCGGTTGGGCAGCGCCGTGTGTTCTGACGAGAACAAGATCATCATCATCAACTGTTGTGTCAGTCGTGTGTTTCGGTTTCGATGACGATGATGGTCACACTCCCCCTCCCCCTCTCGGTTCGTTTAATTACGATCCGACTGTGTACATGTCAGCGACGAGCGAATGTATTCCCGGGACTAGACTGACGCCATCATGACCTCGGCTGTCTGGTGCGCACTTTTTCTCCCCAAAGTAAAACAAGTCGTCTGATCTATGTGCTGCGTGTCAGTCCGCGGTCGAATCGCTAGAACGGTGTTTTTCGCACTGATGAGCCTTGGTCGATGTGTTGTATGGCCCTATTTGAATCTGTTGGTTGTGTTTGTTTCACCCTATTTACATGGGAGTCCAGTCCGGGTGTAAATCAACATAGAAAAAACCGTTGTGAATGAAGAGGCGACGAGACGGATAAATTGATTTTTTAAGGAAATGGTTTAGGTGCAACTTTATTTCAACCCTATCGGAATATTAATTACACAACAAAACATGTGTGCGTATATAATTCAGANTGCTGTCTGTGTTCGAGGCAAGTGTATGATCCATCAAAAGCTGACAGCATTTGTCCCGATCATGATGTTTTGTGTTATCACTGGCTGTCTGGATAATACACTGTTCTTGGCATATATTTTCCCCCTGATAATGCCTAAGCTTACTGGCTTCTTTGGTACTTTCATAAATATGGGTATAATGGTATATATCATGTGATTGTGTAGTTCATTTTTGATCGGAGAATCCAGATATCCGAAGTCAATATCTGTTCGGAGCTAACTATTCATTTTGCGAGCGCCAGATCGTGCGCAATATCCCCTCACTGGTGCTAATAGCTGCTGCTATTATGTCTGTTGGTATGGAATGGAACAGATATTCAGACGCTGTTTTCTATCAGTGGAACTAATTACCTCAAACAGGAAGGGATTTCATTGTTCCTCAAGAACGCAACTCGGCGACGCCGTGCCGTCAGCGTTGAATTCGGTCATTCCGCGACCACGCTGTAATAAGTACAGTCAATCTCCTGCTACGTCGCACCCCTGAGAAGTCGCGTTTTCCAATATCTTCCCACCTTTCTGAAAACCCAAACCAACCGTATGCTTAATGACGTAGTTTCTGACAGTGCGATGTCGCACTCCTCAATATGTCGCAGTGCCTGATAAGTACTCACTGTGGTCGTTGACCGATGTTCGGGACAGCCATTGACCATCCACCCTGAACTGTCGCACTCAACCAATAGCGTTGCACCTAGTGTGATGCGTTCATAGCACTGTTCACTGATTGGATAATCCTTGCGAGGAAGTCACACCGATGTAAGGGATCGGAGACTGTCATTTGACGTCAAAATATGCAAGCGCCTATCGATCAGAGAGAAGCAGAATGTGGTGGAAATGCTGAAACAGCCAGATACAACAGAGCTCCGTAGCCAAATCGCTAGGTCCGTGGGGGAAAGTTTAGCGGTACCAACTGATTCAGTGGACGAGTTTCGAGCGGGGTTACCTCAGTTGATACATGGATATGCTGACTGTTATATTTTCAATGCAGATGAAACAGCTTTATATTCCAGGCAGCTCCCTGAAAGAACCTTGAGTCTGAAAGGAAAGACAGTTTCTGGGTCCAAGAAATCCAAAGAGAGGGTCACGTTACTGCTTTGTGGGAGTATGACTGGAGGAAAGTTATCACCATTAGTGATTGAAAAGTTTCAAACTCTACGATGCCTCCGACATATAGATAGAAAAAGCCTTCCATGCATTTACAATTCTTCAAAGAACGCATGGATGACTTCTACGTTATTTCACAGTTGGCTGTCCGATGTCAACCGAAAAATGTTTTCTCAAAAGCGCTCTACTTTACTATTTATGGACAACGCCCTTTGCCATAACCAAGCCGCAGTATTCTCGAATGTCAACTTGATATGGCTGCCTCCGAACTGTTCTTCGATGTTGCAACCAATGGATCAGGGCGTTATTTGGTCTTTCAAATTTTCGTTTCGGGAACATTTACTGAAATATGTTTGTCTTTGATCGAAGATGAGCAACTTATCATCAAAGCCGAGGTGGACATTCTCATGGCCATGCATTTGGTCAAGAAAGCTAGGGTATCTATGCCTCCGCATGTACTGATCAACGTTTTCATAAAAACTGGGTTCAAATCCACATTGATACAGCCACCAGAGGATAAATGCGATTTGATCGAGGACTTTGTGTCTAATGGTGACCGTGTCAAGTCTTTCTTGTAGTCATTAGATAAATTCCTTTCGAATCGAGCTAAGCATCCCAAAGAAGATGAATGTGAGGCAGTGAATCCGCCTGGAGTTATCTCAATCAGAAAGGTGCAGAAGTTATTGGATCAATTGAAACTATTTGCCTTGGCTAATTCTCGGATTTCGGGTCAATTATTGGAGTGTACCATTGATTAACAGCGCGTTTGTTGATTTCCATAGGAGAGCCAAGCTGATACAAACGTCGATTTATGATTTTGCTCAAAATACACCTTTGTAATATGCGGACGCGGACGCGCCTGTGTGAATGAATGAACGACACTCAATTGTCCTAGAGCACTGATGAAATTAGACAGGTTACTTGCCAAAGGTCATAGTAACCCGGGTCTAAGAGCAGTTTGTGAGATGCACTTTTAGTTAGCTTGAGAGTTGCGTAATTCGTGTAGGCTGGTGACCTTCGGCTGGATCAACAGGAGTGAATTTCTTCTTAGTAAACTTCCGTCTTACGCCAGCCGAAAAATTTGTGCGAGAACCCGCTTACAAAAATAGACGAATCAAACGTTGGTCCCGTGTCATCATCGCTTGCCCTTTTTCCATTCCGAATTTCTTACATAGCGCATCGTTCCACAACTGATTCTCCTGCAGTGATTCTCTACCAACACTTAAGCAGCATCTGATTCAGACCTCATCTTCCTCCTTTGCCG